AGATTCTATACATGGAAAATGTATACATTTGTTATAATTTTCTGTGTATAGAATCTAGTTACTGAAGGGTCATCTTCAATTCATCGCCCCATCACTTCAGGAGGCAAGCAATGCAAAGCAGGGAGGGGGAGGTCATATGGGAAGGCAGAGTAGTCTGCCCTCTGCTTGTGCTTGCCCCCTGCCATTGTTCCCTCTGCCTGCCCACACCACAGCATCAACTTCCCCACTTCCCCCTCTGGTCCTGCCCCCCTCCAGCCTCTGCTCCCCACTTGCCCCCACCTCTGCTTCTCCCCTTGCCCATCTTCCCCTACTCCCCCACTTATACTTCTTCCATGCCAGCATGCTCTGTACCTGTTCTAGCCAGAGGCATTGACCACATCCCCAACCCAGGCAGTACCCCAGGTTGTAGCATGTGCCCCAGATGGAGACAGCTGGCACACAGCAAGAGTAGAGAAAGGGAGAGGGGCAGCCACGGGAGCAGAGGCTGCATGTTGTGGGAGAGGGACGGGAGATGGCAGAAGGGGAGGGACAGTTAGCAGCTGCAGCTATGGTTGGGGCCTAAGCCACAACAGCTACCTGTCCCCACCCACTTCCTACTTGATTTTAAGATGAGAAGTTTTACCCCTACCATGCTAAATGGGGGAAATAACCTTGTCTCAGAATCAAGTAAATCTGGTACCTTCAATAATTTCTCTCTCTCACTGCCTGACCAATCACCTGCTAAAGTCAGGACAAGGGATACACACAAGGCTGGAATGAATAACTGGAGATGTTTTGGTTTTAGGGGGACTTCAATCCTTCTCAGATCAGAAGAAAAGGTAGATGCAACACCTGTTCTAGACAGCATTATCATCCTGCATTTCTTTATGTTAACTTGGATAACCATCAGAAAAAATAGTTTATGGAATGGAAAGTATGGCATACAAGATCTTGAAAAATCCTGGCAGCAGATTGCCCAGTAGAAGTAAATGTGTAGAGTCTAGAGGGAGAAAAAGTCCTATCACATGAAAAAGGCTGCTAAAATGAAAGCCAGAACTGAGATGGTATAACAATTCAGATCTAGGTTTCTGGGTAGAGTTTATATAAAAATCATAGGGATGACATTCACTCCTTGGGCTCAGCAGAGCCCATGCTGACCAGATGGTGCACTCAGAGAGCTCACTATATATGCAACTTGTGGTTGAAGGAGGCATGACTACATTCCTGTTACTGCCCTTCCTCCCACACCCCTCGAATGAGAAAACTTCTACAACAAAATAAAGTAGCAATGTAAACTAATAGAGGGCCATTTCCAGGCATGATATGTGTATGCCACAGGACCCCACTAACATAGCTGAGTGAGTTCATGACACATTCTCCCTATCAGTAGGCATGTCTATACAAGACATTTTTGCAGAGTAGATTAATTAACTCCACAGGAAACATCTTGCATCTACATGTGCAGTGCTATTAGGCTAATTAACCCCACAGCAGGATAGTACTTGTACTTTCAATTTTTTTACTGCACAGCACCCCACACCTAGACACTGATGTGGCTGGCTGGGGCAATAGGGTACTTAATGGCAGGGGCTGCCTGCTGGCTAGCCCCACACTGAAGCACTCATGCCCTAGCCAGCCACTCTGCAGCACATTGAGCCAGGCAGAACCATGATCTAAATGGGAAATTCTTACTGGGCAAAGCAATAAGCTCTGGCGCTTATCACTCTTGAGTTTATTGCTTTCTGAGCACCATGTTTACACGTGTGCCTGGGACCACAGCATGTTGAGCCGGGTCACAGGAGCCCCAGCCAGACCTCTGAGCCCCTGTTGGCTGGGGCTACTGTGACCCAGCTCAACATGCTGTGGTCCCAGGCACACGTGTAAACATGGTGCTCAGAAAGCAATAAATCGGAGAGTGATAAATGCTAGAGTTTATTACTTCAATTTAATTGCACGTGTAGATGAGTCCAATAAGAATTTCCCATTTAGATCATGCTTCTTTAAAGGACGGAATATTTAAACCTAATCTCTCACAAGTGTAACTTTAAGCAAGCGTATAGTTTTCTTGAAATACCAGCAATGAATATAGCTTGTCATGTTTAACATTAAATTTGGGGAATGAACTGTAAATAAATACTTTTTTTGCCACTGACAGTTGGGGCAAGGATATCATCCTCTCTTGCTACATAGTAAAGTTCCATCAATTCTGTTAGACCCCGCAGTCAGAATAGGCCTTTAAGAAGGGCTCCATTTCATACACTACTTGGAAAGACAGCATGCCAAGTAATTGCACAAAAAGTATTTCAAATCAGCTAGAAGTCCTATATCCTTATAAGCGGGTCTTTTATACTGCTGCCCTTTGTAGGCCAGTTACCTCTGTTATTAGTTCTTCAGGAAGTTCAATTCCCAAGAAACAAATTTCAGTCTCTTAAGACAAACAGAACCAACCAAAATTGTCCATCCTGTCCAGACATTAGGAGAAGAGCCACTTCCCACTCAGGCTTTTCCCCAGCACAACAGCTGGCTTTTCCTCCTTGCATACTGCTCCCTCACAGCTTGCCTTACTCTCTGCCCTCTCCTCTGGGTTTTAAAGCTCCCAATGAGACATTCCATCATTAGCAGAATGCCCCACAGTTGAACATCCTTAACAGGGCTGGATGCTCCTTCTTAAGGGGGCAGACCACCCTGTCACAATTCTCAAATGAGGATGGACAGCAATCCCTTTCATAGATATTTTTTTGAAGTGGAGCCCCTTTTTTCCCCTTGCAATTCTTTTTTTTGCACAGTACTGTCATTTTCAGTGATGCATGTGGAATGCTACTTCCTAATAATACGAATCAGCTGGAGAATTCATTCACCACTGTTAAACTCTGTTTCTTCTTGGACTCACACTGTAAGCTCTTTTCCTAGTGTCCTATGTACAGCCAGAATCTGGGGAAAGAAAGTTCAAAGTAACCCAAACCTTATCTTGACATTTCTAGGGTGGTTCACTAGCTGCAAATTTTGCAAGATTTCAGGACAATGAAATATTTATTCAGGTTCCTTTTCTTTGTCATTTCTGTTAATGTTTTTCCTCCTACAATTTCTTTTCAATATATTTCTGAAGGTAAAAAAGACTGTTTGATTTGATCCAACTCACTATGGCATGTCTATGTGTTAGAATTTTTGTAAATAGCATCTAGTTTCCGCAGGTACCACATTTAAAAACATTTCCCACCTGCAGAACAACAATCCTGCTCTATATAGGTTGATGTGATTTTTACCCTAAATTTGTTCAATACTGATATTTTTACCACAAGCAGGATTGTCTTGAAAGTTGGCATTAAGTTACAACGGAAGGTTCCCTATCCTTTCCTCAGTCAAAGCAACTCATATTTTTTTGCAACAGCTGTAAAGATAACACTGACATTTTTTTCTGATGTTTAAAACATTAATGCTACCAATATCTCAATGATAATAGAGATCATTCTCTCCCTACAAGAACTCAGTTGTACTCCCTACTAAATTACATACAGATCTCTGGGATCAGACCTAGTATTTGTGTGGTCTTAGAATGTACAAGATAAGTATAAAACTAAATTGTAGAGAGTTAGAAAGGGTTCATTCCTGAAGCAGCCTTGCAAGATGCACTAAATCTGAGATTTTTTAAAATCGGCTAACAACCACAGAACCCTTGACATGTGGGTTAGATTGTGACACAAGGATGGGAAAAAAGTGCTCATGGATATCTGGCTCCAAGATACTTTAAAGGGATGCAGAGGAAAGTGTCTGGGCCCTGTTCCAAAAAAGGGAGGCGGAGGAGGAAAACTGACCAGTTTGCTGGATTCATTTCTCACTCTGGTCCAACAAAACCAGAGGACATTGACTCTGAGCTGCATGTGACCCTCTGCTTTCTGGCTGTAACAGAATGGCCCCATATTATGGTGCTTGTGCAGTGAGTAACCACTGTCTTTTACCCTGTAACATGTCATACTGTAACTGAATTAGCACCTAGCCAGCTTTCTAGGAATATTTTCTTGTACTGTGCACTTTGTTTTTACTAGCCATGAAGGTATTCACAAAACCAATTTTCTGCACCATCTTGTCAAAGCAGTGGGTCTGCCAGAAACATGATTTTTCCGCCATTGCAGAAAAATCATTTTCCATACGCAGAAACTTAAAACCTTTGCACAAAATAAGGAAGTCACTTAAATTCTTAAATTCACCCTATGGAGTTTCTATAGCTGAGTATTGCCTTTGGACATAAATTCTTTTTGCAATTTAATTTACAACATAAGCAAACTTTTTTAACCAGCCAAAAGTGTACGCACAACCCAACTCTATCCTATGCAGAATGCTTTTTTTGTCTTGAAGCATCACTTTTTCTATTTCATCTCTGAATCTGGATCAAGCATGTCTTTTACCCTAGGATCAGAAAGAATTTTGAAAAGTAGATAAAATTCAACTCAATTCAAAACACGTGTCCAAGCTAGCCTGGTACCAAAACTTTACCACACAATTTCAAATTTAGTATTGAAATAACTGGGTCTCCACAGAAACATGTATGCCAAGAGGAAAGAATTTCAAGGTGCAGATAAAAATTGACTAACGCAGGGAGTGGGGGAGGGCAGGCAAAAAAGTATATTGGATTAGGAATTCCCTTGCCCAGGGACTTCTTCACATCCTCACTTTTTCCCACAGTGACAGACTCTGAGGAGACAGGGGACAGCTCCACAAGTTCTGGTGTTCTCTCTCGCAGCTAATGGCTTAATGTAACCAACAATAATGCTACCATCTAAAGAAGAATTACTGTTTTCATTTGGCGCTGCATTAGCTTATAACTGAACTTGCAAATAACTTCCATTTCTAACATATTCTTCATCAGAACTTTCTGAAGTATCTAAAGAAGCCACGACATCATGAACTTGTTGTGAAGTTGCGTATGATAGTCCTGGCATTTAATTCTCCCAAGGGACCTAACCAATACCAGGTATGGATGCTTTCTGATCAGCTGTTAGGTCTCTCATTTGGAAATATCGTACAACAGATGATTCCGAGTGGCTTTCTCTGTCAAATGAAGGAGCAGGACAATCATAATTGGCATGATGGACACATGTCTCTAGGTTAAAAGGGCACTGGGCTAAACTGATGAATTTGTGAAAAAAGGGCTCAGTGCAATGAAGCAAAAAGGCTTTAACTTACCAGAAAAGGCCTGACTCTACATTATATGTAGTCACATTACTCATGATGATAGGCTGAACAATGTTGGCTGGAGACAAATAGGACAGTTAGTTTACACTTTAGCCATGGAACTAACCTGTGAAGACAAGTAGGGCTCCTGTGGAAAAAAGTCTGCGGAGTGATAGAGAGCTCTTCAGAAGCTAATTATGTTTTGTCCTTGAACATCTTGCAGGGACCCACCTTCTGCATTAACCTGTCTCTTTGAGGCAAGCCTTCTTACCACCTATCAAAGTTTTCCAGCTCTCCGCTGCTCTGATTTGACAACGCTTCCAACTATCACACTGTTTGGGACCTACTTAAATCGCAGCAAGACAAAGGGTTTTTTGTGGCCTGCCAGCAGCATGCAGAGCCGATTTGGCAGGCATTTAATGGCCCTGCCCCTTGCCACTGATTGGTGGAGAGGTCTTGCTCCTTGGTGCTGATTGGTGGAGAGGCCCTGGTGGGGGAAGGAAGGATGAAGAGACAGCCACTATCGTGCCACCCTGCCAGCTGGTGCCTTCCTCTCCCAGCAGTGCGGACTGCTGGCTCCTGCTGGGGAGCCAGCATTTAATTTCTATTAAGTGTTTTTTGTTGTTGTAGATTTTGTGGATTTCATGGACAATCCTGAATTTCATGGTTTCCTGAGATCTGTACTTATTATCTGGGGGCAATGGTGTCCTTGGAAAAAAAGGAACTCCTTTGACGATAAACAGGCATATGATATTCCCTTGTTAATGTAGTGCAGTAATGAAATCACAGACCATGAAGGATAGCAAAAGACCAATTTCCTGAAGCCTTAGAATGTACTCTTTAAAATCATCACTGGCTCTCCCAGCGTGGAAGACAGAATGGAAAACCTGTCTGCAGAAAACAAAACCTATCAAAACAGTCATCTGGATAGTCTGTCTTGTCAAAAGTGGCCAAGCCAATTGGACATTCAAACTTGGCTGCTTGCAGATATTAAAAAAAAAAGGTGCTCTATTTTAAATTTGGTTTGTGCCTGTGCTGAGCCCCGCACAAGCCCAGAAGAGGCAGTGAATTACCTCAACCTAGCTTTGCCGTGTCTGTAAGGATTGGGCACTTTAGTGGGGCTTCTTTTGTGCTTTTATCTAAGAGCTGATTGGTGCTTTTAGGTAAAGCTGATTCAAAAAGCCCTGCGGAAGCACCCAATCTTTACAGATGCTGCAGAGCTGGGTTAAAGTAATGTGCTGCTTTTTCTGGTACAGCACGTTTTTTGTTGTTGTTGTTTTTGGGGGTTTTTTTATGTCTGCAAGGGGCCAAGTTTGAGTCCCAAGTGCATCTGTGGGCACTTTCTAATGCAGGTTGCTTGTGCATTTTACATTTACATTTACTTCCTTTCCTTCTGCGTTTTAACTCTTCTTTAGACTTTATTAATGAATTTTTTTCTCCCAACTTTAAATTATCTGTTTTTTCTGTTTTCTCTTCTATTATTACTTTGTTGTACTTGTTCTTTTTCTATCATCTTGCTTTCTACAAGGTCAACAGCTTATTTCCCACTGCAAGCCTTCTAGCTTCAAAGCAATTCAAAGCATGAAGCAGATGAAATTTAACCAAGGAGTCAGATCCCCCTGTTTAACGCTTCAGTGCAAAACTGATTGGGAATGGATGATCTAGTTAGTTTTTCATGCAGTTGGCACACTTGAGTGCTTAAACGCTGCTTAGATTGTTGTTGGCCAGCTGTGGAGCAGACAAGGTGTATCAGGAAGCATGGGAAAAGTGGTGGGGAAGCATGAAAAAGCTCTTAGGTCAGGCAATCACACTAAGTTCCCTCAGAAATACTGGGAAGTCATCACTATTTAAACAATGTCAGCATTTCTGCACTTGAGTCTTGCGATTTTACAGTGGATAATGATTTCAACAGACATCAATACCAAGGTAAATGTATCTTTGGTAATAACTATAAAATAAACATACATAATGTGCTGCGTATCTCCTATTACGTATAAACCATAAACAAGTTTAAAAGTAACAAAGCACTATGGAGCTTTTTCAAAAGTGAAAGCAATGTCACAGATTTGCCAGGACAATCTGGACCAATATTTTAAGATCATCAGTAATGCAGATGATTTCGCATTCTAGCAATGAAAAATATTGTCATGCTCCTAAGGTGCTCTTTCCCACATAGTAAAAATGAACACATGACCTAAACCCTACTACTGAGTAAATCACTCAAATGTAGGGTAATGATATTCAAATCTAGAGTAATTATCCGTATGATAATTTTACTATGTTAAGTCACTAAGTGGAAGGTGTTGGGTGTTCACCCCCATAGTCACTTTCATTTGTTGGGTAACACTTTGCTCAAAACACATTGGATATATCACCACTTGGTGGCCAAATGCTGTAATAGCCCCTACCCTGGAAGAGCATTCTGCCTCTTACCATGGAGTAAATTTGCTACAGAATAAAATCCAAGTTAAATTACTTCCAAGTAACTGTGTCATATGTCCACAGCCTGCATCTAGAGATAAGAGACTTACTTTACGTTTCAACATTATCACCAATGATCATGATTCAAGGAAAATACATTATTGATGCCAATAATATTGTACATAAAAAAAACTTACATCAAAATAGGCTGCAGAATCAAGCACTCAAAAGTTAGGGAAGGCTAGGCTGTCTGTGCAAACTCACTTTTACCCCCCTAGCATCTACACTGTCTATATAATCTTTAATTAGTAACCATTGGTCTCTACACATGCAGTCTGTGCTTCTTGCCTTAGTCTACCACACTACATGATCCTAATTTCAGTCTCACTTTACCCCCAGCTTCTTGTACTAGCCTTCTTGCCCGGTCTATATAATGATACTGTGGAAACTGAATGGGATTGAATGATCTAATCCAGGGGTTGCTAGCCTTTTAGTAAGAAGGGGCTGAGGTACCACAGGTTGGTCCTAAGCCAGGACAGAGGTGCCAATTATTAGATATTCTGGCACTAGATAACATATTCTTATGCAAAAATTAATAACAGCAGAACATTTAGAGTTTTGAGACAACTTCATTTTTGCTCATGCTCTGGATTGTGTTGGCATGTGGATCAGCTTTATCAAGGTGACCAGACTTTTTATTTAATAGTAGAATTTGGGGGAGAACGGACGTTAGTAAGTAAAGTTAATTTTAGGGTAAGGATATATAAAAGAATACACAGGGACCAAAACAGCATTGCAGGTACGTTAAGCAGACCAAAATAATCTAGACATAATGTATTACTTATTTTCTTATATTATAAAGAGGTAAAAGCAGCCCAACTAATATATATATTATTCACCAGCTGGTAAGCCAGTTTCTAGTTAGATTCTTTTAATACTAACATTTGTGAACATTATATTCACATATATAAAGATTATACTGATAGTATAGATGCTAAGTTATACCAACTGCTGTATATGTTTTCCTTTATATATATGCATGAATGACACGTGCCTCCAGAGGCTGGGGGGCCATGGTGATCACCCGCAGGCAGTGGCGGTGGTGAGTGGAGACTACCTGCACGTGGCTGTGGTGGCGGCGGAGGGGGTGGGGTGGTGAATGGTGGGTGGCAAGCGGGGCCTGCCTGCAGCCAGCGGTGGCCACACAGAGGGTGGTGACCGTCCACAGAAGCTGGCAGCAGCTTCAGTGATGGCCAGTCTTATGGGGGGCATGTGCCCCCACCCCACACATCGCCTATGTATATGTGTAATAATTTCAATGTCGTGAAATTCCTGTTTATTACTCCAGGGTTGGAGTTTTGTTTCTATATTGATTTAAAAACAACTTTAAAAAAAATAGAATAACCATTATAAAATTAAGTTACTTACTATCAATTTTCTATTTTCTTCTACTTAAAAGTGCAAACATTCAAGGATTTTACACATTTTCTAGGCATGTGTTCTAAACAGCCTTAACACTCACAAAGCGTACCAGCTGTTTTGTTCACAGGCAAAAATGTGTAATTGAAACAAATTAATCACTGCAGTCTCAAGCCCCCAGAACATCTTCCTAGGGTGGCGGGACAGTGCAGGCTGTTCAGGCTGCTTGTACTCTTCTGCCACAGAGATAATAGATGTCTGCCATAATAAAACAATACAGTCCACTACCACCTTTTGTTGTGCTACTGATTTTCCTTTCTTGTGGTGCTCAGAATTTGTGCCCCTTTCCTAAAAGATAAAGATTCACCCTAACTCTCAGA